TCATAGTGATTTTGGCAGGTTAGATCGGTGACACCTAGGCCTCCTTCTCTGCAAGGTAATTTCGCTACTTTTATTAGTCCTTTTAAGGTATTTTGCTCGATGTTTGGTAAGAAAGTAAGAATCTATGCATGCTTGTAAGAGCTGTATCAGTTCTGTGATGTCTGAATTTGTTCTGAGAAGAAAGTTACAGTAATCATTAATTTATTGTAAAAATTAACTTGAAAAGTTTCTAAAACTGTCCAGAAAAATTGGATTGAAACCTAAGCGTTTTAGCTTAAATTCGAACAATTGAAATGGGTGAATAGGTGTTTTAATAGGCGATGCTTTTGTTGAAGCCTTTGAAATTTAAGTTTTAACCCAAGGAAACAAATTTTAAAAACTACCAATCGGGTTTAGCAATAAAAAGTTTCTAAATTTTCAAAAATTCTCTGTAAAACAATTTTTTTGAGATAAGTTTTATTCGTCTATGATTTATTTTTGCAGATGGGGGAGAAAGAGAAAGAGCCAAAAAATGGAACAGCTGAGGTGATTCACGTTGACAATTGAAATTCTACAGAAACTTGATGGCAAATTTTTTGAAGAGATGAGCAAAAATGCTTAATTAAGGGAAACAAGAAGGTTGCATTGATCTCTGTTTACTTTTTGAAATGAGAACATCGAAGAATATTACGCGTTTTGGTTCTTTTTGATTTGTGATTGTACTTTTACTGAATTATTATCATAGCGAAGCTTTGCCGTTTTGTTTGATAAATTTGGCGTAGTATCAATATGAGTTTCAGTTCCATTTACCACTTTCAAATTCATTTTGATTTTCTGCCATAAGTAATGTTTTCGGATAATGTTTGTCTGCCTAGTTTTTGGTGGCTTCGTTCTAGTTAGTTGCCAAAGCATAAATTTTTGAAAAGGCCTTTTTAACTACTTTTGAACGTCATTTTCAAATGTTTTATTAGTCCTGTTAAATTAAACTGGCGTTATTCTTTTTTTTTGTTAAAACAATGTTTTTATTTTATTTTTACTTTTTCTTCACAAATAAAAAGAAACATACATTTTAGTTTTTATGTTTATGTGATAATGGTTTATGTGATAATGTTTATGTGATAAGGATTATTGTGTTTTTCTTTTGCATTGTTTCAACCGGCTAGTTTTTTGAAATTTTCTCTTGTTAGACTTTTGTTCACATAAAGTTCATATACGTCCACGATCAAAGCTGCAAGGAAGCACAGGTTCCCGCAGTGGAGAACTCTATTCGTCCTAATTATGTTTTTTTCCTAAGAAATTTGAAATTAGTAATCATGTCTTCACCCAGAAAAGTTTTGGCATACTCCGGTATTTATGCCGTTGTACATTTGTGCGGTTGGACAATTTTCTTTGTTCCGGTTTATATCGGCGAGATTTGTATTTACTCATATACTAGTGCAGTTGTTTTGGTTTTTGTTTTTTGTTAAGTGGTTCGCAATGATGACGACCATTTCAGATGATAGTTTCTCTGATGATGCACACAATGTGCGAAAGCGCTCAGAGATAAACATTGATTGTATGCTTTGTTATTCATTCTGCTGGTATCAATTTTACTACCAACGTCACTTTGGAGGAAAATATTACTGCAAAGAGACATCTGGAACGTTTGGCTGAAGTACAGAAAGTGCCTTATTCGTCATCGAAAAAGCGTCTACCGGAAGAACTTTTTGAGAGACTGTCGCACGAATGACCTGATACCATGGGTTTTTGCAGTTCCGTGTCCCCGAGAATGGGTGTTTCGAAGAGATTATTGTACATAATTTCCAGCGACGCATGTTGCGCAAAGAACTTGCCGCATCATTGCGAGCGATTGAGGATACGAGTAATCGTCTCGCGGTGCAGCGGTTGACAATAGCGAAACCTACCAGAGCACATAATGAGGATTGTAGTGTTCCATTCGCGCGCGCTTGCACGACAGGTGAATAAAGAAACATGTGAGCGTCATGACAAGAAAATAGCCGGTCTTGCGACGAAGCAGGATAAACCTCTCCGCGGTATTGGAACCACTGTGCGCACCATTGGTGATGTTGAACTCCCGCGCTGGGCTACTGATGTTTTATCATTGGGACTCAAGCACCCCGTTCGTACGAAGTTTATTGAGCTACATTTCTTGGCGGACGCTGATACTTTTCTAGCTGAATTGAAAAGAGAATGTGCAAGTGTCGACACTCTCAATGAGGTCAACGCCTCTGTGACTTGGTATATCAAGTCGGAAAAACATTAAGGTGCCCACCGACTTGTGGAGAAGGTTAGCAAGCACCTGAAGGACAATGCCCTCAGAGCGGTTCCTTTTGACAAAGGAGCAGGGCTCTGCATCATGAAAGAAACAGACTACAGCATGAGCTTGCAGAAAGTCCTCTTCTGTCGTCAATTCACAGAACTGCAGACTGAAGGAGCAAAACCACTTACCATCAAGATTGAGGAAGACCTCAATCAGGAACTCCTTTCTCTTTTGCGGGCTGGAAAAATTTCAGAACGCTTCTATAACGAACCCGTTCAACAGGTACACCGCCAAGATTGTATGGTCTCGCCAAAGTCCACAAAAAGGACACTCCGCTGAGACCTGTGCTCTCCTTGTCGGGTAGCATTTACTTAATCATTTACGTAGCATACACGACCTTAATCGCAAGCTTTCACTGTTTTTCCAAGACATAGCAGTTGCAAGTATTGAGACATCCACTGTTGATATGAGGAATCGCCTTGTTGCTGCTGAGTTGGAACCAGACGAGGTGGTTTCCTCGATGGATGTGGAAAGTCTCTATACCAACGTGCCCGTGGTGGAAGCGATTCTCCTTGCAGCAGACAAGTTGTATGCAAGTGAAAAGCAGCCTCCCATTGATAAGGACACTTTTATTCGCCTTTTCAGTTTAGCAGTTACCAACGTGAATTTCATGGCTAACGGTCGATGGTACAATGCGACGGTGTTGCCATGGGATCAGCATTAGCGGTTATTTTAGCTAACTTGTGGCTCAGTCAATATGAGGGAGTCCTTTCCGGTGCAGACACCACTCTGTCGGTTAGCAATGCACGTTCAAGCTCCTTACAAGTGTTTGCATGCGCTGCCAAAACAAGGTTACCAAACGAGGCTACTCGATCAGATGTAATGTATGTCTCATCTGGTGCCATCGCAAATGCACGGATCTAAAAGTTGATGCCATCAGGAGGTACAGCCGCAACAAAACACCCTGGTATTGTGGTTGTCATTCCAACAGCGCTCGAGTGCAAGTCTGCATCCCGAAAGCCAAGTTTTGGCAGGTATGTCGACGACATTATTAGAACAGCGAGAGTGACTGACATTGATGACATCATGTCACAGGCCAATAAACTACACCCGTGCCTCAGGTTCACTTCCGAAAGAGAAGTAAACAATAAAAACCGTTTCTGGACTTGATGGTGGAACATAAAGATAAGAAACTCAGGACGGCCTGGTATAGCAAGCCCGCGGATACAGATCTCATGTTGTCTTTCCGTTCACGTGCCCCGAAACTGTACAAGCGAAATATCATAGAAGGTACAGCCTGTCGCATCAATAACACCACGTCGAGCTGGAACAAATTCCACTATTCACTAGTTTCAGCAAAGTGCATATTCGGGAAGAACCAGTACCCACCGCCATATTACGATCCCATAGTCGAGAACGCAATCAGTAAAGTGTTTACTCAAAAGGAACAACGGGCTACAGATGCGAAATTGAAAGAAAGGAAGTCAAGTCCCACTCTGCTGATGGAATATAGAGGACACATTTCCGATCGTTTCAGTAGAATTATCAGGAAGGAAGATCACAGAAGCATGCGTTCTGTTTACCACACGGAAAATGAAAACTGTCTTACCTTCTTTGAAGAGCAAGATACCAGATGATCTGAAAAGCCGAGTCGTTTACGAAATGACCTGTTCTGGATGCAAGTCCAGCGATGTCGGTCAGACGACACGGCATTTGATAACCCGACTAGCAGAACATGCCCGTTTCAGCTCACCCGTGGGAAGTCACCTCGAAACTGCATCGGAGAGGCTTCAGAAATTTGCTCCGATTCTGGACCAGACAAGATCCAGGACGACTACTAACGCCTGAGGCCCTCTATATCGCAAGGAGACAACCGACACTGAACCAACGCGAAGAATACAGGCAGCGACAGCTCACCCTCAAGTTGTGATGGACACTTTTCTTTGTTCCGGTTTATATCGGTGAGATTTGTATTTACTCATATACTAGTGCAGTTGTTTTGATTTTTTTGTTAACTGGTTCGCAATGATGACGACCATTTCAGATGATAGTTTCTCTGATGATGCACACAATGTGCGAAAGCGCTCAGAAATAAACATTGATTGTATGCTTTGTTTTACTTTATGCCGTCAGTTTTCTCATTTAATTTCTCATTTAAATCAGTTTTCTCATTTAATTCTCTTATCCCAATCTGAGATAAGTAAAACTGTTGTCAAGAAAGTGCAAAAAAATGATCGCAGAGATTCAATTTTTGATGAAGTGATTCATCTTCTACCTCTTCTCGATTTCATTTAGTTTTACTTAAAGTGCACAGAGAAGTGACATGTCATAAATTCTGCAAAAGAGAAATACTGCTTTCTTGTTGAGTCGCTTTTTTGTGATGAATTCAATAGTTTCCTAAAGAAGATTTTTCGTTATTTGTGCTAGATTTCGAAAAGCAATTTATCGGTAGTGATGTGACCCCGTTTTGCCTCTGTCATATTTGATCTGATCTATGAAGCTGCAAACTTGGAAAAAGAACTGGTTGTTTTTCGTTGGCACTGCCACTGAAAGACTTCAGTATGGTATCTCCTTTAACTATAGATGATGCGTCTTAATAATATGCGAATTTTGACAGTAACAACACTGAAAAACAAAGTTTATACTGATCATTTCCCGATCTATCCGGGCTGAAAGTAAAATTTATGCATAGATATCTGATGATTTTTACTATTTTAACATAATCGGTGGTAGCTGAAACTCAGTCGTTTCTCTTTTGCAGACGAAGAGGAGGAACGGCGTCGAAGCAAAGGAGGGATACTTGTGTCGTATACAGAGCCAGGCGAAGACCACGATGATGAAGCAGGCAATGCGGAAAGCAAATCAGACGCAGAAAACGCAGCAACAGATGAAGCTAAGCCAGAAGAAATTGAACCTGAAAGTCAAGAATTTATACCCGAATGGATGAAAGGAGTAGATTTATCTGAGCCAAATTCTTTAGGTTAGCTTCTTCATTCTTGTTACGACCGCGTCATCATTTTTGCGCCTTTTTGTGCCTAAAAGGCCCCTATCATGGTCAGATAAAAGTGGTATCGGATCTTGTTAACTATTTCCCCTCTATTTCGATTTTCAGAAATTCAACTTTGGCTGCCATATTTTCAATAGCTTAAAACAATTTTCAGAAAATTTTTTATAGGTATATATATAGAAAGTAATACAAATAAGAAAGCGCGAAAATGAAAACCCTATAAATTTTTGACATTTTTGAAATGCATGTTGTATACAGAAATGGTTGTCAAAAATAACACATGGATTGGAGGGGGACCAGTTTTCAGTGCAATTCGGATTCTAAAAAAGTATTTGAAAATTTTCTCTCTTTCCGACCGTTATCACAGGATAATTCGTCGGAAAGCTGATTTAACTACTGTTTTTTTTAGTATACAGTCATCCATATTACCGCATTGTTCAACAACGATCATTACCTCAACTCTGAAGCTTTATTTTAGTCTCTCTGACACCCCACTCCAAAAAAATAATAAGCGTCTTTTTTGTTACAAATACTGTTATTCTAACGTTCTGGTGTGCTACTGCACAGCAACCGGGTATACTTATTGGAACCTGATCTAAACTATATTTTATGATTGGATAAATTGGATATTTTACCACTGTGAAGTATTTAATATTAACCAATCATAATCCATCTAACTAACAACCCACTTATTTGTAAGTGCTGAAATTACTTGTAATTTCAGCACCAGGGAGATTTGAATTTAACTTAGAAATTAGTTGTCTCTCCAAGAGAACTTCAGCAGCCGCAACAAACCAGTATACCCTAGATCTATTGAGCCTAGCAGAGACTAGTTAAACACCCTGAGACTAGAAAGTATAAGAGTAAGATTAGGATCGGTATTAGACTAAGAAGTTGCACGAATCTATCCGGCCGAAAATAAGATAGCGTGACGAGCAGACGGTGTACCCTATCCGAAATTACTCTATGAGTTATACCAAATCGGTTCTAACTCATTATGATATATCAATTCTTGTGAAGTTTCCCAGTTCCGAAGAACCTAATTTAGGGATTATCTTTTCAATTTTAAATAAAATCAGGACACATACTAAATTTTAGAATTGATTAAGTAACTCAACTTCAACTAAAACAGTTTAGTCGGAAACTTTTATGTGAAAAGGAACAAAGTGGAGACAATTATTTCAGGTGTGTTTTTAAGGGAAAGTTTTTTTAGACCAAATTTGATTTTTTCACTTAAAGAGTAGATGAATGTGGTTCAGGCTTTAATATAGGTCGTGTTGATTTTTTTGGTTATTTTTCAGGAAAAAGTTTTTGGCAATTTTGTTTCAGGAAAAAGTTTGAAGTTTGTTCACGCTCAGTTTTGATTTTTCGCGGTTTGACTTGTGATTTTTAAGCTCAGTGCATTTCCATTGTTAAAAGGAAGGCAAACTCCACTATCGAACAGCAAAAATGTAAAAGTCACGAAAAACGTGATCGACTTTCAGTTTCGAAAGTGGATTTTAATTTTCAGATGTTGCAGAGGAATTAAAAATTTACCTATTAATCCAGATTAGTTTACAAATTAGTTTAATTGAATCAACAAAGTGTCAAATCATAAATTGTTCTTGAAATTCAAAGAGCTTAAAGGCCATCTATTTCTTTCTTCGAAATTAGAGATTTAAAAAAAAAGAAGTCAGTTTTTTCTGTTTACTTGCTGTCCTTGATTATTTTGTTTTCTTAAACGTAAACAACAAATATATTTATTATCAACTTGCATAGTGGACAGGGGGATTTAGTGTTCGGCTTAACGTGCGTTTTTTGACGAATTAGATAAAAGTTTTTGAATACTTATCTAACACCGGCGATTGTGTTTCTGGACATGGTTTCCGCAAATGTATCATAATTCCAGGGCTTTTTTAAACTTACTTTCGACTTAGTCTTTCCTTATTAGCTTGCAATGTTTCATTTGTTTGGCATTGCAAATCGTACGAAGCTTGGTTTCACCTCTGTGTTCGATTTTGCTCTCTTATAAACATGTGCAAATGGCGCACAAAATAGTGATGACTTTTTTCAAAAATAAGTTTTAATTATGAGACTTCCCAATAAAATGAAAAAATATTTATTTGCCCAGTTTTCTCCAGTTGAGTTAATTTTTGTGATTGAGTTTTTGAGAATAGTGAAATTCGAAGAGTTTTAAGGTGATATTTTCCTCTATATCAACTCGATTTAAAATAATTAATAAAATGTCTAGCATTTTGTTTCGGTTCGTTTGTGACAATTCTCCAGGTGGTGATGTATAACTGTTTCAGCCGCTCTTTTGCATAAGATCAAGCCGAAGAGAGAAGAAATTTGCCTGCCCCCAAGCTGCAATAAGAAATGTTCACTGGAGCTACAAGAGAAATTTGGTGAGGTTTTTATTGTTTGTAATTATCTATTTGCATACCAGCCGATCTTGCGTGATAGTTCCAGGTAGCTGTTATGTTTCATTATTCAAGCAGCTGATCTTAGTGATTCTTAAATTGGAAATCTTAACCAAAAAACTATATGGCGGCGTATATTGTACCTATTCGTTTTTAATCGATTACAAAGTGGTAAAACGAAAAATCAGGAACCTCAAGTAAACGTCAGATGAAGTCAAGTGATGTTTCATATTGAAGCCTTTTAGTCGTGATAAGATTGATGTTTATCGTCGGTATAATCGCCCATTGACTTTAATTCTAATCGATGAGAAAACGCGTTTTCCATCAAATTAGAATTACGCCTGAAAAAATTGAATATTTACGCTTGAATATTACGATGCAATTCAATTCTTAGTTTCTAGAAATGGCGTATAGATATTTCGTTTTCTTTTGAAAATTTGAAAAAAAAGCCCCCTTGTTTTCCAGAAAGGCATCACGCAGCGGTGAGGTCGGGTAAAGATTTCATCAAATTGGTTGAGTCGAAAACCGAGTACAGAAATCCGAGTATCTACGAGAAATTAATTCAGCATCTTCATATCAATGAAAAAGGTATAGTTGCTCAGCTCTTTTTTTTGATCCTGATTGACCCTCACAGAAAAAAAAACTACATAAATACTGTTTTTGAATAATCTTCGATAAATAGTTTCTATTTTGTCTGTTCATTGTGGTGGAAAAATTATGGTATCACTGGCTACTTGCAAATATTGTCTCTAATAGTCCTTTGAAGCACCCCCGCCCTGAAAGGCTAGTTCTGATTTTTTATGCATCTCCGTGTGATGAATTGATGAAATACTTATATGTATTCTGTTATACACTTTCGCTCAGCAAGCCTTATGAAATCGGATTAAAGACTTCGAACAAAATCACTTGATAGATTGTTTTATAATAGTTTCAAATTTTTTGGCCTCTCCGACATAATTGAGACGGTAAAGATCGACTTTTTTTGAACTGAGGAAAGAACGACCTTTTTTGAACGAACGACCAGGACTTTTTTTGAACTGAGGACTAAATATTATGTTTCAAAACCTTATCGGTCTATCGTTTGTCTAGTTATGTTTTGTTGGCTTAGTTGCCACATTATGGAATTTTCTTGTGCTGTAAGCAATTTTTGTTGCAGTGGTAAGTATTTTTGATTCACTCCTGTTTTTGAAAGTTGTTGCGATTTTTATGTAGTATTGAAAATTCTCCGATCACTGTTGCGAAGCCCTGCTACGGCTGTGTATATAATACAAATCTGGAAAAGCATTGTTTAGGTACAAACTTTCCCAAGAGTGTTTTCAACCCTAGAGGTTTTCCAAGAACTGCCTATTACGACGAATTAGCTCGGATCCAAAACGAACTACATGCGAAGAAGCAGCAACAGAAGAACAATAGTCCTCAAACTACCACTGGGTTTAACGCAGTTCAAAGTGCCAATACAACTAGCAACGCAGCATCTACAGTAATTTATGTAAGAAAATGAACTAATGAATTTTAAGAGTAATGAACATAGTGAGTACTCTTATACAGTGCTGATTTAAATCATCCCGACAAAATGAACAAAACTTTGAATTTTCAACCACGTTTTTCTCAAATTGGGTTAGGATTAGACAAAAAGGGAAGAGAACAAAAAGTGCTTAGAGTTCCATCAGAATTGATATGGTGCAATTTTTCTCCGAAATTCTCAACCAAAGTTTTACCCCAAAAAAGGGTCATTTTGGCTTTTTTTCAATTAAACAAAAATTACGCTGAAACTACTTGTTAATTGATGAGAATTATATTTCACAATAATCCTCTTACACAGCCAAACAAAGTTCTAGAAGGGTTAAGTCTCCAAAAACATGTATAATGGAAAATATTTTGCTTGATAGTCAAGAAACGTGATTTTTACTATATAAACCTTAAATCTTTGCTTAGAAACAAGTTTCAAAAAAAATTACTCAACTTTTTGGAGATATAACTTTTCTGGAACTTTGGTGCGCTGTGTAAGAGGCTTCTTGTAATATATGTTTCTTATCAATTAACAAATTAGTTTCAGCGTAATTTTTTGATCAATTGAAAAAAGCCAAAATGACTTTTTTGGGGTAAATTTTTGATTGAGAATTTTGGAGAAAGAATTGCACCATATTAGTTCTGATGAAATCCTAAGCAACGTTTGTTCTCTTCACTTTTTATCTAATCTTAACCCAATTTGAGAAATACTTCAAGTTTTTTTTGTTCGGATAATTTAAATCAGCACTGTATAGGTCTTATGTTTTTTTTTTCAGGAAAAGTCCTGAAGTTTGTTCACTCTCAGTTTTGATTTTTTTTCGCGGCTTGACTTGTGATTTCTTTTTAAGTTAAGTGTATTTCCATTGGTAAAAAGAAGGCAAACTCCACTACTGAACAGCAAATTGTAAAGGTCATGAAAAACGTGATCGGCTTTGATTTCGAAAATGGAAATTATTTATCAAATTTCCCAGCGAAATAAAAGTTTTACGCATTGATCCAGTTTTCTCAAATTATGTTAACTTTAGCAAAAATGAGTCCATCATAAATTGTTCTACAAACTCAAAGAGCTTTAGGCCATCTATTTTTCTTCGAAATAAAAAAGTTGAAGGCTGTCGAAAAATTAGTCCGTTTTTTTTTCAGTTTCACTGTATTCATTACTCTTTCCAACTGTTAGTTTGCTATGCTTTCAACTTCAACGCGAAAAGTTTTTCAACTGAGTAAGCTACTGATTTGTGGACTTGAATGTTGAAGGCGAAACTCAAAGTATCTGTTTTTATGATTAAAGACGGGTAAAATAAATTCTGTAAGGCTTTCCTACAGAACTTTTTATCATTGATACAACGTTAGGACTCTAAAGATGAGCAAAATACTGCAGGAGATATCCTTGTGAAAATAACACACATAAATCCAATGTTCTTGCACGCCTCGTTGGTTCAGCCAAAAATGGTCCAAGTTCCAGAATTTTTTTCAGGGTATTTTAAAGAAACCAGAAATCTTTGACCTTTGCTGAAATGTAATGTAGCGAAAAAAGATTGCAGGGGCGGATTTAGGGGAAGGGAGTAATTGCCCTGCATTTAATAGCAAAATAGTGTTACTTCGGGAGAAAAATTACAGAATATTAGTTTCTTATCAGGTTATTCTTTTAAGAGGTGATGAACATAGCTCAGATTCTAATAGAGGTCGCGATGATTTTCTGTTTCGTTTTTTAAAAGAAATTTCAAGAAACACCTAAAATTTTTCAGGTTCAAATTTAAATTTTCGGGGTTCGTTTTTTTGATTTCTTTTTCAATTTCAGTTCTTTTCCTTTGTTAAAAGGAAGGCAAACGGCTCTTTTTCCTTCCCCCCTCCACCTCACACGAGCTTCAATATATTAGTGTAACGAGTGGTTTTTCGAGGTTGAGTATGAAGACCAAATATGTTTGTCGTGTCCTTATTTGTCTGTATGTAAATTTTGATAACAATCGGACAATGTTGTCAATAAATTTACATGCAAAATTTGCAGGCGGGGGGTGGGGGAAGAAAAAAGAGCCAGGCAAACTCCTACATCAAACAACAAAAGTTTAAAGGTAATGATAAGTCTTTAATAATGATAAGTCTTCGAGAGTGGAATTTAATTTTCAGATTTCCCATCGAAGTAAAAAATGTTACTTAGTGATCAAGATCCAGTTTTCTCAAATTGGGATAATTTTTTATCAACTATGTTTCAACCATAAATTTTTCCTGAATGTCGAAAGAGCTTCAAAGCCATCGTTTTGTTTGCTTGCGTTCATTGCCTCTTTTCCAACTCCAAAAATGTTCCAGAATTTCAAAGAGCTTCAAAGCCATTTTTTTTTAAATTCAAAGTACCTTATTTTTTTTTCTGTTAATCTGCGTTTAATGACGCTCTTTTATGTCATTGTCTGTTGGCTATCTTATGATAAATTTCAGCTTTTAAGCTAAGTTTTTTTTGAAATTCGAAAGTTGAGTTTTGAAAAAATTAAGTCAGTATTTTTTTGTTAACTTGCTTTCATTGACTCTTTTCCAACAGCCTGTTGGCTTTGTTTTCAAAAGTCGATGAACGTATTTCATACTTTTATATCAGTTATGATGATTCTTTTAGTTGTTTTCCTTTCGGGAAAATTATTGAAGTTTGTTCATGCTCTTATTTGGTTTCTCGCGGTTTCATTAATGATTTCTTTGAATTTCAATTCATGTCACTTTTAAAAAGAAGGTAAACTCCATTCATTGTTCTATAGTTTTTTAGAGCTTCTCAGCCGTTTTTTTAAACGTAAAAAAAACAAGTAGGAAAAGTACATGAAAGCAATTTAACAGAAAAATTCGGAAAATTTTTGTTAACTTGCTTTAATGTACTCTTCCAAGTATCTGTTGACAATGTTTTGATAAATTCTAGCGTTTTCGACCAATTTTTTTCCGGGTTATTCTTAGCTCACAAAAGCGATTTTCTAAAACGCTAGCGAGACGGGCAGTCTGGAGCCTTTGGAGGTTACTTTTGAAAGTTTTTTCGGAAAGTCAAAACGATGCAAAATTCACTTCACCCGGTTGATTTCCATACAAGGTCTCGAATAGTTAAAAACTTTGCTGTATAAGACAAAACCATGTCTGTTGAAAGGATGTGTCGACCATTCTTCAGATTGCATCAGGGCAGTCTTATTTATTAACAATCAGAAGCATGGCTTGCAAGCTCCATATTAACTAAATATTATAAAAACTTGACATTAGAAAAGCTTAACCATAAAATCTTAACATTATGCACAAAAATTGTAGGATCCGATTTTTTCGTAGTGCTGAAAATTGTAGAGTGAACTCAATTTTCACGCTATGTTCCAAAGTCTAGCTCATTGTTTTTAAGTGATTGAGAACTCAAGGCTCCTTTCCAAAAGTTTTTGAAAGAGTAATATTTCTTATTTTTGGTGGAAACCAAATTTTGATATAAATTTGATTGCATTCTGTCAACTAAACGCAAACAAAATTTCAGGTCCGAAACAAAGAAACAGCTTGCTTACGCTTTTAGTACAAGCTGTTATTGATACTAGGGTACGTCAATAATTTAGCTCCCAAAAATGTGCCACATAAATCACTACTAAAACGTTTATTTTTCGTTTTCCTATTTTGGCGGGGTTGGGCGTTCGGAAAATGCGTAAGCAACGGTATATCTGGCTATCTTGACCAACTCCAGCTATTTAATGGAAGATAATACGTTTTTCCATTCCATTCGATCAAGGCAGTCTGTAGGTTTCCCGTTTAAGGCAGTCCCGTTAAAGACAATCGATTCAGCGTTTTTCAGGTCTTTCTACTGGCTTTTTCCCTGGAACTGAAACACGGTCATTTGATTTTAGCGCATCGACGTTTTCTTTTCGTTAAACTCGGCAAAGCCATCGTAGCCGTGACCGCACTTATAGTTTGTACAGATCTTCAGACTTGTCGTTTTAATAAATGCTTCGTTCGTATAGGTCGCGATGATTTTCTGTTTCGTTTTTTAAAAGAAATTTCAAGAAACTCCTAAAATTGTTCAGGTTCAAATTTAATTTTTCGGGGTTCGATTTTTGATTTCTTTTTTAATTTCAGTTCTTTTCCTTGGTTAAAAGGAAGGCAAACGGATCTTTTTCCTCCCCCCTCCACCTCACACGAATTTCAATATATTAGTGTAACGAGTGGTTTTTCGAGGTTGAGTATGAAGACCAAATATGTTTGTCGTGTCCTTATTTGTCTGTATGTAAATTTTGATAACAATCGGACAATGTTTTCAACAAATTTACATGCAAAATTTGCAGGTTTGGGGGGAGGGAAGGAAAAAGAGCCAGGCAAACTCCTACATCAAACAACAAAAGTTTAAAGGTAATGATAAGTCTTCAATAATGATAAGTTTTCTAGTTTCGAGAGTGGAATTTAATTTCAGATTTCCCATCGAAATAAAAAAATTACGTAGTGATCAAGATCCAGTTTTCTCAAATTGGGAGAATTTTTTATCAACAATGTTTCAACCATAAATTTTTCCTGAATTTCGAAAGAATTTCAAAGCCATCTTTTTGTTTGTCTGCATTCATTGCCTCTTTTCCAACTCCCAAAATTGTTCCAGAATTTCAAAGAGCTTCAAAGCCATTTTTTTTTAAAATTCAAAGTACCTTTTTTTTCTGTTTATCTGCGTTTAATGACGCTCTTTTATGTCATTGTCTGTTGGCTATCTTTTGATAAATTTCAGCTTTTAAGTCATTTTTTTTTTGGAATTCGAAAGTTGAGTTTCGAAAAAATTAAGTCGGTGTTTTTTGGGATAATTTTTTATCAACAAAGTTTCAACCATAAATTTTTCCTGAATTTCGAAAGAGCTTCAAAGCTATCTTTTTGTTTGCCTGCATTCATTGCCTCTTTTCCAACTCCCAAAATTGTTCCAGAATTTCAAAGAGCTTCAAAGCCATTTTTTTAAAATTAAAAGAACCTCATTTTTTTTCTGTTTATCTGCGTTTAACGACGCTCTTTTATGTCATTGTCTGTTGGCTATCTTATGATAAATTTCAGCTTTTAAGCCATGTTTTTTTTTGAAATTCGAAAGTTGAGTTTTGAAAAAATTAAGTCAGTATTTTTTTGTTAACTTGCTTTCATTGACTCTTTTCCAACAGCCTGTTGGCTTTGTTTTCAAAAGTCGATGAACGTATTTCATACTTTTATATCAGTCATGATGATTCTTTTAGTTGTTTTTCTTTCAGGAAATTATTGAAGTTTGTTCATGCTCTAATTTGGTTTCTTGCGGTTCCATTCATGATTTCTTTCAATTTCAGTTCATGTCACTTTTAAAAAGAAGGTAAACTCCATTCATTGTTCTATAATTTTTTAGAACTTCTAAGCCGTTTTTTTAAACGTAAAAAAAAACAAGTAGGAAAAGAACATGAAAGCAATTTAACAGAAAAATTCGGAAAACTTTTCTGTTAACTTGCTTTCATGTTGTCTTCCAACTATCTGTTGACAATGTTTTGATAAATTCTAGCGTTTTCGACCGATTTTTTTCCGGGTGACTTTTAGCTCACAAAAGCGATTTTCTCAAACGCTAGCGAAATGGGCGGTCTAGAGCCTTTGGAGGTTACTTTTGAAAGTTTTTTCGGAAAGTCAAAACGATGCAAAATTCACTTCACCCGGCTGATTTCCATACAAGGTCTCGAATAGTTAAAATTTGCTGTTTAAGACAAAACCATGTCTGTTGAAAGGATATGTCGACCATTCTTCAGATTGCATCAGGGCAGTCTTATTTTTTAACAATCAGAAGCATGGCTTGCAAGCTCCATATTAACTAAATATTATAAAAACTTTACATTAGAAAAGCTTAACCATAAAATCTTAACATAATGCACAAAAATTGTAGGATCCGATTTTTTCGTAGAGCTGAAAATTGTAGAGTAAACTCAATTTTCACGCTATGTTCCAAAGTCTAGCTCATTGTTTTTAAGTGATTGAGAACTCAAAGGTTCCTTTCCAAAAGTTTTTGAAAGAGTAATAATTCTTATTTTTGGTGGAAACCAAATTCTGATATAAATTTGATTGCATTCTGTCAACTGACTGCAAATAAAATTTCAGGTTCGAAACAAAGCAACGGCTTGCTTAGGCTTTTAGTACAAGCTGTTATTGATACTAGGGTACGTCAATAATTTAGCTCTCAAAACTGTGCCACATAATTCACTACTACTACTAATACGTATATTTTTCGTTTTCCTATTTTGGTGTGGTTGGGCGTTCGGAAAGTGCGTAAGCAACGGTATATCTGGCTGGCTAGACCAACTCCAGCTATTTAATGGAATGGAAGATAATACGTTTTTCCATTCCATTCGATCAAGGCAGTCTGTAGGTTTCCGTTAAAAGGCAGTCCCGTTAATGACAATCGATTCAGCGTTTTTCAGGTGTCTATTGGCCTTTTCCCTTGAACTGAAACACGGTCATTTGATTTTAGCGCATGGACGTTTTCTTTTCGTTAAACTCGGCAAAGCCATCGTAGCCGTGACCGCACTTATAGTTTGTCCAGATCACTCAGACTTGTCGTTTTAATAAATGCTTCGTTCGTAACTCTGTGTTCATATGTGACTCCTGTAATCCTACACAGAGGTTTCATATCAAAACTTAAGAATTTTTATAAAGCCTTGTAAGTATTAAACTTCTCAATGGACTCAGATTTCGTTTCAGCTGATATCTCTAGATCATATGAACATAGCATATCCCAGTGTGTAGAATGGCAGTTTTTCGTAGCATCTTCCATTTCTGTTGTAAGAACAGTTGGCTAAGTGCTAATCCCTGATACACGCCTACTTTAATTTCGAATTAATTACTGCATCCATGGGGCCGGTGAACTCTGGTTTTCGACGCGATGTACAGATGCATTGTCAGTCGTACCTTATTTTTTTGAACTTAGTTGCGTCAGAGCCCATGAGATCAGTTACCTGGTAACACGGTCGAAAGCTTTTTCGAGATCAACAAATAAGCGATGCAGGGGTTTTTCTTTTCTGCAGATAGTTCCTGGAACTCGAATAAGAAAAACGGCATAGGTAGTTGATCTACCACCTGTTAAGCCAAATTCTATTTTTATCAATTGTCTCAGACGCTTTTCTCGTCCTTTTTTGAAAATTTTTAATGCCTGTTCTAGTTATCGGTTGCCTCTGTAGTACACGCATTCTAACAGTTTCACTTTCTCTCTCCAATCGCAAGGGATTAGACCAGACAAATAATTAAGGAAACCATATTCAGTAATTTTTTACGATAGTAAAAGTACTTGAGCAAAATACGTTTGTTGTCTTGCATAAAACATTGGTGTAGTGATTTTTCAGAAATTAGAAAATGGTCCTAGAACCGACTATTGAGGCTTTCCTCATCTTCCTCGTAAGTAACCATTTAAAAGACCTACCATAAACAACCGTAGATTGGAAACGATCTGATATATAGCATTCAGACAGTTTAAGTACAATGCCTAATATTCCATATAACTCAGCCAAAGCGTGTGATGAAGTACTTCAAAAACTTTTCCTAGAGAAGCGGGTGAATAAGTGCTTGCAAAATGTTTGTTAAACAACAAAAAAATTTTGCAGTTGATGAGAATTTTGTTTCTAAAGTGAACCCCTTCAGTCAATCTCGCGTGTGTATCAGCGGTAAGAAAAAAAGGCTGAATAATAATTTGAAATTCGAAAGTTTCTTTGAAAGTTGAAGCTTTCAAAAACAACGTTTTTTTCTTTCTTTGCTTCATTGAATCTCTTCCAACTCTTTGTTGGTTAGGTTATATTATCGTAAATTCTTGTCTCTAATCTCCTATACATATATTTAAATCATATTTGAATCTTTTCGCAGCTCTTATTCTTGTTTTCTTTCTCCGCACTTTTTCATCTTTTGATGAATGTATTTCAGATTCCTATATAGGTCGTGCTGATTTCTGATTTTTTTTGTTCAGGCTCAAATTTTCACGTTCAGTTCATTTCCTTTGTTAAAAGGAAAGCAAACTCCACTATCGAGCAGCCAAAGTGTAATGGTTGGGAGAAACGCTGTGTAATGGTTTCGAAATTGGAATTTATCAGATTTTCCAGCGAAGTGAAAATTTTACCTATTGATCCAGCTTTCTAAAATTGGGTTAATTTTATCGAAAAATTGTCAATCATAAATTGTTCAAGAAACTCTGAAAGCTTTAGGGAATCTGTTTTTTATGGAAATTCATTTGTGTTTCTAAGAGTAATGATGCATTGAAGACTCATATAATTCTTGGTTATTTTATTTTTTGTTTTTCAGGAAAAAGTTAAAATGTCTAATAACTACAGATGTGCATTCATGCATATTAATGCATTTATGAATGCACTTAGTTATATCTTCACTTTTGCAGTTAAATTGAAATTCATCTGCTGAAAGTTACGTTAATAACACTCTCCAAATACGAACGTGGAAATGGCGCAAAAATTTTACCTATTGATCCAGCTTTCTCAAGCTGGGTTACAAAGCGCCGGTCTTAAATTGTTCTTGAAGTTGAAACAATTCTACAAATTCTTTTTTTCGAGATTATTAACAAATTCAGTGTATATTTTCTTTTTTTCTTACGTTCATTACTGTAAGTTGGCTCTGTTTTCTAATTACTTGCGTTCATTGACTCTTTTCTAACTGTGGCAGATTTTCAAAATGTTTTTGAAAGTTTTGTCGACCTTTTTTTTTGCCTCGACCAAATTGATTTTGGGAGAACTTCCAGAACACTATAAAAGCTCTATTTCGACATTTTTGATAAAGAGGCAATTTTTGAAAAAAAGTCAAAAAGCTGTTTTTGAGAAACTTTGACAAAAAACTGTTTTTTCGCCGGGCGCTCCCCTTCAAAATAAGAGTATATTAGCGCCGAAGGTCCCTTCAAGAAATTTTTGGGTAGGTCAGTACCCAGTTTCGGTGGAATCCTCAGGCGACGGACCGAATGAGCGAAAATGAAAATCAGCTACTCAGGGACATATCTAGGATTTTCTCGCGGGGGGATTTTAATAGGGCGTATCTAAGATTTTCTCGATGGGGGATTTATTTTTTTTTGTTCTACCAAATTGATTCTTTAGTTCGACCTTTTTTGGTCAAACTTTGTGCGCCGTAGGCAAATTTTGAAAAACAAGCCACAGAAGACTTTGTTAGCCATTTTTTGGAAGATTTTCACCAAGAAACTGCGTTTTTTTCGGCGCGCGCTTTCCCCTCAAAATTAGTATATATTGGCTCCGAAGGCGCCTTTAGAACATTTTTAGGGTCCGTCACCAAAAATATCTGAAAACAGTACATAGGGGGACCTTTTGAGTCGGCAGCCGATACCCCCCCCCGCCCCCCTGGTCGGAACATTCAGGGCTTTGCCCTGGTGAACGAGCAGTCTTGTTAAACTGTCACGAATCGTTGAATCATCTGGTTTTAATATTAATTAATCTAATTGTGATAGGCCAAGAAGCCGAAGGGCCAACAAACCGAACATAGGAGTACCATTCCAACAAGCCTAGAATTAATATTGTTATGCAACATAACAGCAGATTGTCGTCACTGTTTTTATGCAAGTGTTACGTAATTCTGATGTAATTTCGGCTTCAAGATATGGCAGTTTGTAGACATGGCGGTTTGTTGAACATCCACCGATCTAACATTACTGAACGTCTGTTCTTAGTTTTTCGTTCGTGTATATGAAACCTGCTGCGAACAATCTTATTGATCCGATTAGCCTGACCACTAATTTGCCATAATTCGCCATATATTGCGTTTTTGTGTCTAAATATTATTACAGATAAGCCTTCAACTTAAATCGTTTTACTTAGAGAGCTGCTACTCTAAATATTTAGTTACAGCAAAAAAAAAGATTAATTAGCTATCATAACATTGTTCATTTGCGAGCTTCCACTGGATGATAAGAGTCTATATTAGCCTAACTAGTTCCTTTTTTGTTACTTTAGTCGGATAAAGTGATAGACATGAAGCGACCGGTAGGTGGGGGATCTGGCGCGGCCGATGATGCAGCTTCTCGGAAGACCAAATGGGACATGCCTCCTCCCTCGCTTTCTGGATCCACTTCAAGTACAGTGGCCTCCTCTACCCTTATTCCAGCATCTGGACCCTTAAAGAAACCGAAGATAGATCTTTGAAAAGTTTAATTGATGCTTAAAATTTATTGAAGCCGACACCAGATAACTTCGGACACCAGATTGCGTGAAATGGAGAGATTCTTTGCGAACTGGGAGATCAGAGTTGCCCTGGCTATGAACATTTATTTGTTTGCCCCATTTTTCTTTGTGTTGGCATGCCTAGAAATTTCAAATTGGGTTTTTGTTTGCCAATGAACTGAATAAGATAATTCATTTTGGTTTTCTAATTAAATCTGACACGTCTCAGTATTTTTTTTGCTGTAAACTTCAATTTGAGGTCAAACTCCGGATGATCTCTGTTTGATGTATTTTTTGTTTTCATATAAAATATTATCTTATCAAATTTATTAGATCGCGAATAAGAGCATGTTCATGCGGATAGATCTATATGGATTAAAATTTTATTCTCTAAATTATTGCTAACTTTCAGACAGAAAATGATTTTTGCTGGTTAAGCGATTACGTCAGTTTTCTTCTTTAAAAATGAAGCACTTGTCCTTACCCGAACACATTTCCAACAGAGCTAGCAACTCTAAGTACAACGAGCGATTTTCAGAGAGCCTCTACCTGAACGACTCGTACATCAACCGCCTTTCTTTAGAAGCTGAACTAAGTGGTCACAAGGGCTGTGTGAATTGTCTGGAATGGACGAGAGATGGACTCCTGCTCGCAAGTGGCTCTGACGATTTGACTGTTCGAATATGGTGCCCGCAGAGAAGGAAGCAAATCAGCGAAATTAGTACAGGGCACAGGTCGAACATATTCTCAGTTAAATTCATAGAAGATACAAACAATTCTTTGATCGCCAGCTCAGCAGCAGATGCACAAGTGCGAGTGCACAATGTGGAGAAGGGAGACACAGTTAACACTTTTGCATGTCACCGCTACAGAGTGAAACGGTTGTGCACTTCTAAAGTGAGTCCCTCTCTCATTTGGAGTGCAGGTGAGGATGGCACAGTTCGCATGTTAGACCTCAGAGAAAATCACACGTGCAGCTCCTCAAGAAGTTGCAAAAATGTCTGCATAAATCTCAATGGGGAGAACATCAGCAATGGCAACCAACCTTCAGAAGCAAAGTGTCTAGCAATATCGCCCAGTAGACCCTACATAGCCGTAGGGAGCAGTGACGAGTATGTCCGATTATTTGACATGCGCAAGCTGCGAGTCTGTGGCGAAACATTTGTGGCCGCTTTTGGTCCGATGAGAGCATATGATCCATCGGCATTTTACTGCGTACCCGGACACATTGCAAACCAGGATCTAGGCATCTCCAAGAAAAACGGGCGGACCACAAGAATGGGTTTCAGCTCATTTAGGACAGTTAGTTCAACCTTTGTGACCTTTAACGAGAGTGGAAGTGAACTATTAGTTAACCTAGGAAGTGAGCAGATTTATCTTTATGATATGATGACCTACATGCATTCGTTCAAATATTCTTTCCCAGAAACTAGATATAAGTTTCTTGATACCGTGAAGAAAATATCTAATAAAAAAGACGAGAACGAATGCGACTCTCGCAATGGCGAATGTGCTGTAAGTGATATTGGTGCTACCTCAATCTTGGCAAATTTAACGTTGAATGATAATACAAAATGCACTACCAAAATCATTGACGAATGGACTACCTTGAAAGAAAGAGCAAATGAATTCTTCAGAGAAGAAAAGTACATGAATGCAGTTAGCTGTTACAGCCGATTGCTGCAGATGACGAGCTACAATGCGCATATAATATATGCTAACAGAGCTCTAGCCTTAATGAAGCGCAAGTGGTCGGGTGACGTTTATGCCGCTCTGCTTGACCTGAGAAAGTCAATCGAGTATGACCCCCTTTATGGCAAGGCACATCTGAGGTTAATCAAGTGCATGCTAGAATTCGAGTGGGTTGAAGAGGCCTACCATTGGTCGCTATTATTGCAGAAACATGTCGATGCAATGAAATGCGACGAGTCATTCACTCGGTTGCATCATGAGCTGAGCGAGTTAAGAGAAAAGCGAGACTACAAAGACTCCAATCGAGGAATGACAAACTCCGAATCGAGCTCACCGAGTGGGCCAAGTGTACCTTCGGCTAGTCATCACATCACGCAACAGGAATTGCTGCAGCAACAAAAAGCTATGGACTTCAAAGGTAGATTCTGTGGGCACTGCAATGCTGCAACTGATATCAAGGAAGCAAATTTTTTCGGAAATGGAGATGGACAGTACATTGTTGCGGGATCGGACGATGGCTCATTCTTCATTTGGGACAAATACACTACTAACTTGTTGCGTGTCATGATTGGAGATGAGAGCATAGTAAACTGTCTGCAACCCAACCCGAGATTGTGCATGTTGGCCACATCAGGGATAGATGACACAATCAAGCTGTGGAGTCCAGGTCGAACCAATGTGGAGAATCCGCACCTGAGAACAGACTTGACCTCTGTAGCTTCTTCCAATCAGAAGAGACTTCACCAGGATCCAATCGAGACTTTCTTCAGTCTGAACTTCACGACGATGAGCCACAGATTCGCATCGAGCGCACACTCGAGTGATGACGAGGGCGCTGGCAGCACAGATGAAGCAGCTGCACCCGACACTTGTAGGACCAGTTAGTTCTGGTCAAAACAAAATTCTGAATGTGCATTTTGTAAAATCCAACTATAAATTATTACTTAGTTAGTGTCAAGTGTAAGAAATAGTTTACTCCGAAACATTATTCATTTTTCACAATCATCTAAAGGAAGTAGTGTCTGTAGAAAATCTTTTCTGCTGTTTATATGAGGTGAAGTGTGTCAAATTTTGGCGGTCATTGGCTCAAATAATACCTCAAATGCCACTGTCTGAATTCGTATCTACAGTTTCAACTGATTTAACGCTAGTTTCACCCGTTTATGTAAGTATTCATTTGAATGGTAATTTCTTCTTTTTTTTCACCCGGGTATCCTATATGTTTTGGTTTGCCATCATGGCAAAACAATAAAACGTTATACGTGCGTTTCCGAACGTTACTTACCAAGCAACAACTTCATTGAGACCAAAGAACAAATGTCCTACGGTCCTTTCAATAAAGTTTTGATTCCTATCTGAAATGTTTACTTAAGCGGAGCGTAGTTCAATATTACGAACCCAACACTAGTCACAAACAAAATTCTCATTTTTTTTGGTGGCACTTTTGCTGCAATAACATTATCTCAGGTTTACGTTTGCTGCATCTATACTATATTTAAATGCGAGTGACAGCTATCTCCCATGTTTAAGCATAATAATTTTGCATGTGTAACGAAAGAATTTTTTCATGTTTAAGCTATAGAATAAATTGCAATGCTTAAGAAAATTTTTCAATTAGTTTTTCGCAGGAGTCATTAATTTTTCAGTATTTTTTTTCGAGGCCAAATTCAGTCTGTCTATCTGAATACCTGCTTTTTTAATTAATTTGATCATGTCTGTCTACCCGTCGCCTAATATATATATATATTTTTTTTCTTTCTGCTCGACAGGTACCGGCTTATATTACATCGGCTTAATGGCCTCATATTGCGTCTTTCGACTAGTGAAATTGTATGTGTGGTTTGACGTTGAGGGGGACTTCACAACTTAAAAAAATTTCGGCCTGTGTGTGAAGGTAATGATTTTTTTCCCAGGAAAGTCTTAAAATTTGTTCGTTCAATTTTGTTTTTTCGCTGTTTGCTTTTCGATTTTTTCTACGTTCGATTCATTTCCTTTGTTAAAAAGAAGGCTATCTCTATTGAACAACAAAAATGTAAACGCCATGAAAACGTGATCGAATTTCAGTTTCGGAAGTGAGTTTGAATTTCACAGCGGAATCAAAAATTTACCTTTTAATCCAGTTTTGAATTGGGTTTACTTTGTCAAAACAGTGTCAACCATAAATCTAGTCTATATTTAAATGCGAGTGACAGCTATCTCCCATGTTTAAGCACTATAATTTTGCATGTTTAAGGAAAGAATTTTTTCATGTTTAAGCTATTCCATATATTGCAATGCTTAAGAAAATCTTTCAATTTGTTTTCGGCAAGGTCATTAATTTTTCAGTATTTTTTTTTCGAGGCCAAATTAAGTCTGTCTGTATTTTAATTAATTTTTATGTCTGTCTACCCGTCGTCTAATTTTTCAACTTTCATCTATTATCTTTTATATATTTAAATGCGGGCTTCACTATCTCGCCATGTTAAAGCTTTTTCAACGTATTATTTTTGCATGTTTAACAAAAGAATTTTTTTACGTTTAAGCTAAATCGTGTATTGCAATGGTTAAAGTTTTATTTTCGATTTTCCAGTTTAAATTCAGTGTTTATTCCATCAATTTTGAAATTAGCAATCCAATAGAAGGATTTTCTCAGAGTTTTCCCAGGTTTTTAGCTTACGAGATAGGCAATTTTCGAGGTTTTTCAAAAATCTTTTTAGCTTACGAGATAGGCAATTTTCGAGGTTTTTCAAAAATTTTCTAGAAAAAAAAATTTCTCAATTTTTGAAGTTCTTGCCCTGTAGTTAGGTGCTGTCAGATTACTCTCAGGGGTTGCGATTCTTGCCTACAATTCTCACTTCTCAAATCTTATTAGTTTTCGAGATATGACGTTTATCATGATTTTTTCAAAAACTTAGTTTCAAAAAATTCCAAAACGTTGAAAATTTCAATCCTGTTCTTGGATAATATGAGGGTACTCTCAGGGGTTGCGAATCTTGCCTTTGATTATGGCTGCTCAAATCCCTGTAGTTTTCGAGATATGACGTTTTTTGGATTTTTTCAAAATTTTTCAGAAAACTTCAATATAAAAAATTTAACAAAACTTGAAATCACCATCTCTGTAGTGAGGCTCTGTCAGGGTACTGTCAGGAGTTGCGAATTTTGTCTCCCAATATGACTGCTCAAATCTTTGTAGTTTTCGAGATATGACGTTTTTTTAATGATTTTCTCCGAAATTTTCAAAAAAAAACTTAAATGTTAAAAAGTTCCGAAACTTTGAAGATATCAATCTTGTTATTGGAATCTTTGGGGGTACTCGCAGGGAGTTGCAAATCTTGCCTCTGAAGATGGCTGCTCAAATTCATGTAGTTTTCGAAATATGACGTTTTTTAGGATTTTTTTCAAATTTTTCAGAAAAATTAGATGAAAAAAAATTCGCAAAACTTGATATTCTCATATCTGTAGTGAGGCTCTGTCAGGGTACTCTCAGAAGTTGCGAATTTTGCCTCCCAATATGACTGCTCAAAACCTTGTAGCTTTCGAGATAGACGTTTTCTATGCTTTTCTTCGAAATTAAAAAAAAAACCTAAATGTTAGAAAGTTACAAAACTTTGAAGATGTCTATCCTGTTATTGGAGTCTTTGAGGGTACTATGAGGGGTTGTGAATCTTTCCTCTGAATAGGACTGCTCAAAATCTTGCAGTTTTCCAGATATGACGAAGTGTGATTTTTTCAAAAAAGTTTCATGAAAATTAAATTTTTTTTTCTTCAAAGTTTGAAATTCCTAACCTGTAGTTGCGGGGCTGTCAGAGTAATCTCAGGAGTTACAAATTCGACCTCCATTTAATACCGTCCAAATCGTTTTTGTTTAAGAGATAAGACGATATTTGTGTTTTTTTTTTGGAAATTTTCAGAAAACTCAAATTACGAAATAATTCGTTCAAATGAAATTCCCAACCCTGTAGTTGTGAACTTTCAAAAAATTTTATTCATCGATTGAACAGAATAAAGCCACTTGTTTAGAAGAACAGTACAATAATATTTACAATAAAAAGAACAGCACAATTTTCCAACTTTTGTTGTTGTAAGCTCGGTGCATATAAGTTCTTGTGACACGGTTTGATTGCTTGACTCTTTTCCGTGTTTCACGGTGATTGGTTGGTTGTCAATCATTTGTTTTCAGTACTCTGGCTCAGTTGAAACAGGTGGAATTATTGGTTTTGTCTCGACCTGTGGCCAGCAAGCACTGTGACTCCCGGGGTGCCCGTGAGTAGGAGGAGAGTCCCAATTCCAGTGTTGGGCCCGTCGATTGTACCAGCGGCGTCACTAGATGCTAGTGGCATCACTTGTTTGTACAAGCAGTTGTAAGTTGGTTATGTTTTCGGCTCGATGTGGAGGCCCTTATTCCTCTGGCTGGTACCCCAGAGATGACCTCGTCATCATGTGAGCCATGCTGTTAGCTGAGGTTTAAGAATTCAGCAGCTTTGATGGAGTCTTCTCATAAACTCAATTATGAGATCTGTTGGGTTTTGTTGGTAGTTGAACAGATGTTTAGTATCGTGAGGCACAGTACTAAGTAAAGAGCATTCATTTTTCATTTGAAGATCTATTCTGCTCGTTTAGGAGGATAGACTTACTATTCTCGGAACATAGTTGTGTTAAAATGACTCTTGTGTCTCGTAATAGTTTGAAATTATCGTTATTGATTTTTATTGGGAGGGATCCATTGACTTCATTGTAGGTGCAACGGATATATCTTGACACAGCATTTCGATGAATATATCCTAGTTCTTTTTGGTATTCAACCATGTTGATTTTTTTTGTTTTCATCCAAAAACAAATGAATTTCATCGCCAAAGCGATTTTTCACCGTTGAGCGGATTTGTCAAACAGTGTTAGTTGTCCTCAATTCGGTTGGGTATGGCGAAGCTTGTGAATTCAGTTGTTTGGCGTCACTGTTAGATGCTTGTAAAGTGATATCATCAGTATAGGATATATTATTTATATTAGCGGGGGGCTTTGGTTGAATGCTCATTTAGATATTGAATAACATAGGCGAGAGTACTCCACGTTGAGGCACACCTTGTTTGCACTTGACTAATTTGATTTGGAGTTTCGAACTCCACAAAAATGAACCGCCCATGAAGATAAACTGATATCCATCATCTCCACAAAATTGAACCGCCCATGAAGATAAACTGATATCCATCATCTCCACAAAATTGAACCGCCCATGAAGATAAACTGATATCCATTATCTAGTGTTGTTCGAATTGTTGGCCTCCAGAATGTCTTTCTGAAGCGTTGTATGGTTGACCGTGTCGAAAGCCGCAGTTAAATCTAACTCTTCAAAAAAAGTATGGTCCCAAAGTTCGTTTATTCAGGCCTGCTCGGATGTTATCAGAGATGCAATTTAGAGCAGTGATGGTTGATCTGCCCCTTCTGAAGCCATGTCAATGCTCCTCCAAGTGTACGCTGTTGAAATTATGAGTAGTCTGCGTTCGGTCAGTTTAGCCAGCGGGGACAAAAGGGCAATTGGCCGATAGCTTTTAGATTCCTGAGCCAGTTAATTTGGTTTCAGCAAAAGAATCACTTTTCCAATTTCCATATTTGTAGAATAGTACAGCAGCTAATTGAGAGGTTAAGTAATGTAATCGCAGAAGCCTGAGACGGTGAAGGTGTATTTGAGCTAATTTGTCTGGTCCAAGAGCTTTGATTTTTTCGATGTTTTGATTCCAAATTGAACCTCCGATATTGGTGTATTGGTTTCGTTTAAAGGAAGCTTTTAAAGTTTTCTCACAATGCTACATATTTATTGCACTGTTGATTGAATTTGTTGGCGCTTACTTGGGATTCGTATATTGGTTCACTGCGCTCAGCAAATTTAGTAGCTTGGTTATTCGTGATTCTGCGGTTATCAATGTGATTTAACTATTCCACAAATTGCTGGTTTTATCTGAGTGTGTTAGCCCATTCACAAACTGTCCATTTTTGCTTTTCGTTCTTGCACGATTTTGCCATTCAAGCAGTTCATTTCTGATATTTCGTGGTTGCCGGGATTTTCACGTTCAAGCAGTTTTTAGTATAATTTTTGTAAGGGTAGCCCTGCCCAAGTGAGAGTCTGTTGGGAGCTTTTAGTTGTTTCCGTGGTTGTAGTGTGGCTTTTTTCGTTTATAACGACCATGATCGATGAGTCAATGTCTAATGCTATGGAGTTTCCCCTGGTATCGTCGTTTGCTTTCGAGCACCATAGTTAACTGCGTGCATTAAACACACCCATGGTTATGGTGTCCTTTATATCGAGCAAATGACTAATGTTCGGTTTAAAGCCACTAGGGCAGCTGGATGAGGGTGGTTATGTGGACATTGATGAATTTTGTGGTGCTTTGCGATGTGACAATTTCTATGCTTTGTTATTCAATGGAATTATCTGATTGCGGTGCGGCGGTGTCCAGTGTTTGATTTTTATATCATCTCTGATGGGAGAAGCTAGACCACCATCTCTACCTCTTCCTTCTGGTCTCTGTTTTGTAACAACGGAGAATCCAGGCCGCGATTTGCTGGTCAGATTGGTTTCTTGAATAGCTGCTACTCCAATCTGGTTTGACTCTATTCATTGTATAACGCTGTTTTTTTTTCTGTCTAAGACCCTTGCAATTAAACTGTAAGGTATTAGAATTGTAGTTTTCAGTCTTTTGGTTACTTATGATTATGTTTGCTTAAAACTAATTGGCTTCTATAATATCATGGCTGTTTAAACTGCTTTCGCCTTAATGAATGCAGTTTTTGCTATGAACATTGTCCTTCCATTCTCCTGTGTGGACGTCAGTGTGGTGCATTTGAGTATGACACATCCTCCATAATGACACCATATACAAACAGAATGTTTGCAGAAGTATTTTATGCAGGTTGGATATTTGAACGTGGGTCTGGGGATTGCCCGATGCCTCCTCGAACGAGGAGAAGTAATAAAGCAGTCCTTTAGGCTCTGGCTATATTGAATTTAGTTAACAGGTAAGCCAGGATAATCTGTTCCCGCGTCAAAAACCGGACGGTTGCAGCATCCGATATTGAATGGATTTTGAGCCGGTCCTTTGTGGGGTCAGGAATGGTACAACTACTTGAAGGCATCCTTTCTCTGCAGCAAAAATTTCCAGCTCATTATATCTGGCAATCTTTAATATATTGAAATGCGGGCTTCATTATCTCGCCACGTTCAAGCTTTTTCAATGTAATCTTTTAGCATGTTTAACTAAAGAACTTTTTCACATTTAAGCTAAATCGTATATTGCAATAGTTAAGAATTTTGCGTTTATTTGTTCAAGTTTAAATTAAGCAGCCCAATAGTGGGATGTTGCCAATTTGTCCCCCAGGAGTTGCGAATTTGGCCTCTAGTTATGAATGCCCAAAACCTTTTAGTGTACGAGATACGACGAGTTTGGTGATTTTTTCAAAAATATTCAAAATCTCAAATTACTAATATTTCAAATTTGAAAATCTATAACCCTGTAGTTGGCTTCTGTCAGTATTCTCAAGGTTTAGTTATCTTGTCTCCAAATATGACTGCTCAAACCTTTGTAGTTTTCCAGATATGGTGTGTTTTGTGATGTTTCAAAAATTTTTCAGAATTTGGTAGCCCTGTAGTTGGGGGTTGTCAGAGTACTCTCGGGGGTTTTGGCTCTTGCCTCCAAATGTGACTGCTATATTATTTGTAATTTAAGAGATCAGAAAATTTTTATGGTTTTTTTTTCAATTCTCTAAATTTGAAACCCCCAACGCTGTACTTGGGTAATGTGAGAGTAATCTCAGGAGTTGCAAATCATGCGTCTTAATACGGCTGCTTATTTGCCTATAGTTTATTTACGTGAGGTGACGTTATTTATGCAATTTTATGTTTTTTCAACATTTGACGTAAAAAAACTTGAGTAATAATTTTTTTAAACAAAATTTGAAATTACGAATCCTGTAATTGGGTGCTTTCAATCAGTGGATGCAGATCTTATTTCCAATAATTGTGGTTTTTATGAGTTGTCAAAATTTCGAAGAACCGGAGGTGCGTTTCACCAGTTTTTTTTTGCAATGCTTAATTTTTTTATAATTTGTCTAAATACTTTGCAATGTATTACAGGCAAAGTTAGTGTGCATGTATTCAGCTCACAATGTACAATTTTAATGCAAAATGTGTGTCATTTTATCTCTGGTGTCACTTTTGCTGAATCGATCAGCAATTTATTAGCATATGTAGCTGCTTAATTGTTTTAATTTTAATTAAGGTTTTTAATTTTTTTTTCTTTTTTCATTTTACAGTAAATTTTGTGTCGTTTTCTTGCTTGTATTTGCAAAGCGCAGCTTTGCCTCTGTGTATAAGTTTGTGATTACTCTTCAGTATGTTTTGTATCATTTGGCAATTTTATCAGCGTTATTAACATGCATTTTTTTCCATTTAACATTTCAGCTCACAAACCTGTGAAAAAAAAACACATTCAGCTGCTGCCTCGTGCAAGTCCTTAATGCCCAACCTCTTGAATTGTCATTTACGAGTAGCTGGGTGGCCAGTCAATAAGCAGAATGGTCTAAGAGCTGAGTAGGCCCGAGAGCAGAAAAACAGAAAAATAATAATTTTTACAATCTGATCGGTAAATTAAGCATAAGAACTGTCAATATTACCAAAAAAATGAATAATTTATGCATAACTGAAGTAACTCAATCAATATGTTTTTTAAAATTCAATCTAAAAACTTGATGAAGTTTTATTTCATGCAGAATTTTTTCGTTTCCTTGTTATTTTTGACCATTCTAATAATTGTTTTGTCAATTAGCCCGAATAAACAAATAAAAGTTTTTCTGCTCTTGGACCCATTCTGCACTTGGACCATTCTGCTTATTGCTCAGCCTCCGAGTACCTGTTTTTTTTAAAGGTGATTATGAATTTTTGAATGAGTTCCGTTTCAACTTGGGCAGTCTCATTTTTTAATTTTCAAATGCGAGTTATATTAAGTAGTTCAGCGTGGGATTTAGCAATAAGACTAAGTAGTTGTTGACCTACCGCAACTAGTCAAAGTTGAATATATATATATATATATATATAACCAGCTCATAGTTCCTTCCCACTTCTAGAATCGGTCAGAACAACAATTGTTTATAAAAAAATTTTTTTTATAGAAAACACTAACAGCATCTTTGAACGAATTGTTGGTTTAAAGTTTAAGTACGCGAAGTAATTCTTAAAGCCAGGCACTATTTTTGTCAATTTAGAGTCGAAGTATTGTATTTATGACGCCTATATAGGTCGCGATGTTCAGTTTTGATTTTTCGCGGTTTGATTTTTCAGTTCTTTTTTATTACGTTCGCTTCATTTTCCTTATTAAAAGGAAGGCTAACTCTATTATCGAACAGCAAAAATATAAATTTACAATTTAGTTTTTCTTCCATTATTCTCAACTGTAACTGAGTTACGGAGAGCTCTTAAGCGAAGAGTAGCACGTTTCCAGTAGCAAGGTTTTTTAGGGCTTAGCGAGAAGTTTTGAGAACTAGTGATGAGTATCGAGAACTGCGAGAATTGACTGGTTTTTAAGAGTTGATGAACGTAGTGAAGACTTATACAGATCGTGATGGCTTTTCTACTGGAAAAGTCTTCAAATTTGTTTTGATTTCTTTGTAAGTTGTGTTCATTTCCTTTGTTTAAATGGAAGGCAGACTCCATTATCGAAAAGCGTACAGTAAAGGGGTGCGTACAGTAAACCGATGTGTCAGTAAATTACCAGATCAGTAAACGATTTACGTATTAATTACATCAATTGTGGAATTACAGATTTATAGAATAAATGTTTCCTTAGCTGGATTAATAATTTTGAAACTAAGGGGCGCATGGGAAGAGTTATTTGATTCCATTTTTGGCCTCAGTTATTGTTGTGAGGAAAGAATTTGTCATTTTGTAAAAATCTCAGTTTTTAGCTAATGGGATCACTTATTAGAATCATGAATTTTTGGTTTACTGACCTGGTCCGCCCGTTTTCGGTTTACTGATACATCGATTTAATGATCAAACAACGAAAAGAATAGGTGTAAAGGTCTCGAAAAATTTTTAAAGTTGATTTTAAGTTGTGTCAAAAAAGTGTCAGGCCAATTATCAGAAAAAAAATTAGTGGAGTTTGTGTAGCATGAAGTCTTTATGTTTTTGGTAATTGAGTTCCGTAAGAATTGTTTAAAAAATCCAAGGATTTTTGGCCGACAATTTTCAAATGATTCATGTAATTGTTTCTGTTTTTCGTGCGAGCCAGATTATCTTGCGAACTTCTATCGCAAGTGGTGCGAAGCACTGCTTCGCCTCTGTGTGAAAATGTTTCCCCCAAAAAACACATGAGAACTGTTGAAGGTTCACCGGATATGAGCATTTTTGTTACTTCTGGTATTTGAAATTATGTGATGCGTTCAATATTAGGTTTGCATAGCAAACACTTTTTTAAAATCAAATTCTCCCATCAGATGACGGACGCCGATCGTTCTAGAGATTATGTACTTGTTTCTTGTATGGCACTTCTATTCAAAGAACAAGGACTCTTTGGAGGTGCGCTCAAGTGTTCTTTTCCTCAAAACTTTTACGATGCCAGTGATGTCAGGCCAGTTCCAGACAATCAAGAAGTGTTTATGAACAAACAATGCAACCAAAACATCATTTTTGACATTCTTGAAAGTCCAGCAGCTCAAAATGACTTAAACGAGCATCCGGCTACTTTTCATTTCAAAGAACTTGTTGAGGACCACGAACTGGGAGATATTTCGGACGGAATTGAGGACACCGACTTGTTTCAAATAGACCCTGAAAACTTCACTAAAGAATGTATCGTTGAAATATCAACTGTTCGAGGTGTGAAAAAAAGAACACACAGGGACGGATCTCTTGAAAACATAAGACTGACCGTCGTTGTATTTCGTATCTTGATTCACAAGACAGACATTGTGGTTACATTCAATGATTCAGAATTCGAGAAGGACGGCGAAAGTGATCAGAAGTGGTCGGGGGATAATTTTGTGACCATTTTGAGATCTCTCAAACTGATTGACTCTTCGTTGTTTGTTGATGAGTAGCATGGCAAAAGGATACTCAATTGTTTTTTGAAGCAAACTATTGATTCCTGTTCGTTTTCGTCATTATGCAACTAGTAGCAAATATTTAAAATATATTTCAAAATAATTGAATTTTGTTGATAAGTAAATCTTAAGAGGTATGCTATGCGTATAATTTGTCTGACCAAAAGGGATTGATTTTAAGAACAGCTATGAGTTCCCAACTGCACCATCTTGAAATTGAAAGAATAGATGAAAATGCAGTTGACTTCTACACCGATCACATCGTTTCTCAGTCCAGTAGTGGATCTTTCGAACTGACTGGCTTCACTCAAGATCTCTCCGCTTGTTGGATGACTAGAGGCCCCTCCTTTTCTTTATTCGACACCAAAACAGGAAATCAACTGTGGTCACTCTCGTTTACCAGTGCAGGAAATAGTGAAGTGGACAATGGATATATTTCTACTATGTGTCACTATGTGGACCAAGACACAAATGATAGCGTGTTTTTAGTCGCGCTGCATTGTCCTAAATCGGATACGCTTTACTTGGTTTCCAATCAGGAAATTGTGAAATCACTCAAACTCCCGGCCATGTGCGTGACTATGAATTGCTCCAGGAAAAGGGAAAATTTAGAACAGTCGAGCTCGTTTGCATTTTTGGGTTTGAAGCCAGCAAAAGTATTAATATTTTGGCTGAATATACATGAGTTAGCGCAGCGCCATGCACCGTGTCTGGACTTGGAAATAAACGAAAGTAGTTCTCCAAACATCCAGCCAGAAGGCTTGGTAGATAACATTCTGCCATGCTGGTCGTTAGAACAATGTGTTTCAGATGGCAGGTCCTTCAAATACTCTGCTCCAGACGGTTCTGTTCTCAAGACGTTTCTCAAAGAAGTAGCTGTAACTTCGATTAGCTATCTGGAAGCGTTAGGCGTAGACGTTTTGGCTGTAGGATTCAGTGTTGGTTGTTTCTATCTGTTCAGCTTGAATGGCCTTGGTCTCATGTACTCGTCACAGAATGTTCAAGAGCTTTCGCTGTCTTCAGTGAGAAACTTCGTGTTCCAAGTGCCTCCAGACGACCCGAGAAAATGTATCTATCTCTGGGCAGGTTACTCAAGTAACCCATCCAGTTACATGTCCGGATTACATCATTGTCAAACGGCACATGACACGACGACTGCGCTCCACTATCATGAAGATTTTGCATGTGTGGTGTTGTACCAGCTGAACTTCGACGACACAGGAGACTGTCTCTTGAGAACGTGCATTCCCTGGTTCAAGCTAAATCTGCGCTCGGATATTCACTCGCAACGGGATTCTTCGTCGATCGAGACCTATAACAGAAGTGCTATTATGTCTATGGGAACGTGTTCGAAGACTGAGGGGGGTTCTGGCAGTACTGGGGAAGGGTCCTCCCAAGTATACATGTCTTGGAGGTTCTCAAATGACGCCTCGAGATTACACGAGAATGATGAAGTTGGCGTAGCTCAGACGGAAACACAAGTCGGAATATTTGACCTGAACTGTTGGTACGAAGCTCAAATGCCAAAATCTGTCCGAGTTCTAACAGGGCAAAAGTTTTGCCCTTACTTTTCTGTGTATAACTGTATTAATATAGTGGATAACCCGAACGTCTCATTTCATAATTTTGCTGTAGTTCCGAACTCTATGCGACAGTTCAGCTTTAGAGACCACCCTACGCCTTTGTTTGCATCTTTTCTCTGCTCCTATGACTTCGAGTGCTGCTTTCTAACAGAGCTGGGAATTGTGAATTGCGAAACGATCAGCCTCCAGCAATCAGTGTTGGAAAACTTGGAGCAAGTTGATATATCAGATGCATCAAATGTGGAGTCACTGTACAAGGCTGCCATTGTTAGTAAATTGATACCGGTCCCACAAATAGCATCAGGTGACCAAGATGTGAATTCGCGGATAGGCCAACTTAAACAAATATTGGCACTTCTGGGAAAATACTGCAAAACTTGGTCAATGATGCGAGTCTGTAAGATGGCGAGAAAAATTGAAGACCATTGTGATGACATTAACTTTTTTGATCTAGTCCAACAAATTTGGTCTGATTTTGACGTGTTAAGTGTGAATTGTTCCTCTTTTTGCAGCTCTCTGATGAACTTTGACATGCCTGAAATTGATCGAGGGTTCAAACGTCAGTTCCAAAATTATCTTGCGCAGTTATTGTCGTATGTATCGTTTTTTGATAGATTTTGTGCAAATTATGAAAATGAAGATGGACCAATTGGACCGGAAGAGGCTGATGCTGCTAGGAAAGTTCTGGAACATTATCAAGTTGTGGCCTGGCTGTTGGAAAAACGCTACCTGCCGGAAATGCATCCGGACACTATGGACGTTGAGTCAGATAAAGGATTCCTTTACCCAGCCGATAAAATTGAAATGGTCTACGAGAAAACGATTCAACTCTCTAAACAGCGACTGAATGTAAACTGTTTGCTATTTGAACGGCTTCTAGAAGTGCTAGGAGTTGAGCTTCAATACCCTGTGAAGTCGTTTGCCAGTGCTTTGAAGACTCTTTTCTTGAATCCCAAAAGTGAGCAGCCATTTGCAATCAGACTGGCTTTGTTGAACTACATTATGACGGATGTGTTTGCAGTTCTCAATTCGCAACAGAATGAGGAGGAAGTGGTAGTTATGCCGGTGAGTCAAGATGAAAACTGGATAGAAGTCATTAAGTGTTTATGGAGGCTGGATCATGGGGGAGACAGACTATCTGCAATCGCGAGGTGTAACTTAGAAATATTACCGGTTGAGATGGTGGCTGAAATTGTTTCTCGTCTACATGCTTGGGAGCAAATGCAACCTGCTTATGTTTTATTTAAAAAACATGAGGCTGACCAAATTGAACATTTTGATCCCCTTATGACTATATCGCTGTTCGTTTATGGAAGAGAGTGGAGAAAAGTGACAGAATTTGTGAAGAACGACCAGAATCTTCTTCGGTTCCTCCTGCAAAAGATTGAGTATTTTCAGTATGTAGAGAAACTGATAGATCTAAGATGCAGTGAACAGTTCTGGGAGAAGTTTTGCGAGTTCATCGAAACAGAGGAGGGCAGTAGATTTGCCTATATTGGGGCTTTGAAAGATGCAGTACTGCCTCGTAACAAATCAGATTTCAAGCCGCGTCGAAAGCACTTTGAAAATATCAGTGAGCTAGGAAATGTTGCGGCAATTTGCAGAATGATCCACGAAAGCCAGCCAGAAAAGGAAATGAAAAATCCGTTGGCAAATTTACAAAGTCAAGTTAAGCAACAGCCAGAGCGAAATTCAAATGGCAGCCGCAAAGAGTTTCTTCAGCCCAAAGTTGTTACGAGGAATATGAATAAGAAAATAATAACACTCGATTCCAAAAAAATTCTCTCAGCTCAACAAAGAAGCATGGAAGTGACTGCAGTTCGCTCTTCAGCTGCTAAAAGTCGCATATCACTGTTTGAAAGCTCACCAAGTTTGAGAGTGGTGGCCAAATCGCGCAAATTGGACACAAGCTTGAACGAAAGCAAATTTAGGTCACCTGCTGCAATCAATGTGTTGTCATCCGCTGAGATAAATGTATCTAGGGCGAGTTGCGATAGATCGTTCACTTCGAGTAGCATTGCTGGAAGTCGGAAATCGATTCTGAAAACAGACAGAAGTGAGGTTGAACGTTGCGATTCGACAGGCTTCTTGAGTCGGGTTTTGATGAACCCAAATGTGGACCTGTCATCTACTGCCAGTAGTTTCTCGCTCTTCGAGTCTGAATCCGATCAGTCTTTTGGAGTAGCTAACAAAAGTGGTATACCGAAAGACTCGCCTAAAGTCAATGTGAGTTTCGGAGATACAATAAGCAACACCAAAAGTTCGAAGAACCGAATCTACGTTGACGAGGAAATCAGTATCAGGAAAGCTAATATCAGTTTTTCTTCCAATGAAGACCACAATATTACTGTGCCGAACGCCGAGTTGATTCTGACAGACGACGAACAATTGAGTGGCTCGGGAGCTGATGTAAATGTTTCCAGAAGGGTCAACTGTTCCTCCAAAGTGGGCTCAGCTTCCATTCTCGACGATAGTTTCAGTTTCGATGCTCCTGGTTCGGTTCTTTTCCACAGTCCAAAGGTAGTGATTGACCAACCTATTGAGGACTCAGGGCCTCCGGAGACATTCCAGTTTTCGGAACCATTGCCAATGAATGTTGCTGGTTCGGGGGAAGCAGTCAAATTTGCATTGAAGGAAAAAGAATCGAACTTTCCAGGACACGGTGACAGAGAAATCTTCGCAAAAACTGCATTCAAAGCGAGCACAAAATTTGACAAATCTGTGGTAGAAAGTGAGTCTATAGTATCATTTGGAGTAGAACGAAATCGGCAACAGTCAAAAAGCTACTGGGAGTTCAAACCGAGTTGCAGTGTGAAAAGCTCAGCGACTGCAGAAACTCAACCTAATTTTTCGTTGCCATTGAATGAAGAGGGATTGAATTCGATTGCTTCAAAAGAAGCAGTTAATGCGTCTAAGGGTCTGCAAGGTGTTCGTAAGTCTGTGAGGAAATCGAGGACTTCTCGAACACCTTCAAAAGTATAGTCGCTTCTGAGGCTATGATTACAAGTGACTGTGATTGGCATGAGTGATTACGTTCGAGCTGTGGGCTAAGGAAGATTTGTTGCATGATGATTCGCAAAACACGTTTGAAACTCTTGTATTGCTGTTGATTTGCTGTTGTTTTGAGCAGCTTTGTGTAAAATCCGTTTTGATTTCATTGTTTTATGACTTGGACCGGTAGAATATAACTCGCTAGGGCAATGGAAAACCATTAGACACCGTGTTGTTAAAAAATGTAGGTGGCCATGATTTTACCCGGTACCGCTACAACTTGCAACAGAAGACAACTGGCAAAAAAGACAACTCGTAAAACTTTAAGAAAAAGACAACTCGCAAAAAAAGACAGACAACTCGCTTAAAACTCGGAAGAAAACTAAGTTTCACTTTAATCTAAATGTGATTAAAAAAAGCGGT